GTACAAGTCACTTGGAGCCCTCTTCGTCTCCCAACCCTTTCCGCACTGTTATCTGCACGCCTCTCGAGGCTGAGGCCTGGGCATCTCCACCTCCCTAATCACAAAGGCACTCTGTCCTGCTGGGGGCATGTAACCAATGAATAATTTTCTGAAGCTAAAGGTACGGCGGTGATAGGGAGGCATCTTTTGGCTAAAACAGGCTTTTCCAACTTCAAAACCATGAGAGTTTCCCAGTTCTGGAGCAATCAGCTCACTGAGCCCGTTTCAGCAATCAGAACTCTGGAGGCCAGAAAAGTTGAGGAGAGACCTGCCCATGGTCCCACAGGTATGAAGGTGAGGGGTGGGGGTGGTCTGGGCCCAGAGCCAGGCTGCTGTCTCCCTTTGGGAAGGAGGGAGGACAAGAAGTCTCTTCCAACACAGATACCATGGCACGCAGCAATGCCACACAGAGCCCGGACACATGAAGCCCACCTCCCCACTGACCATACTTAAAAGTCTTTGCCTTTCAAAAGGAAGAGGGGCTGCAGCTTGATTTCTGAGAAACCCCTCTACGTCTTATCTGTAACTTATCAACTGAAGAGCTTTGGGAGGCCAAGCACCTTTCCCAGGGTCAGAGTGGAGATCTGACCCCAGGTCTGTCGAGTTCTGAAGCAGGCTCTGCGTCCACTATGCCGTGCTCTTCCAAAAAATGGGAAAAACACCCATTCCATCTGTGCTACCTCAACAAGGCAGCATTTCAGAGCAGCTCAGTATTTCTGCCATTCGTCCTTCCATAAAATCCCTGTGAAGTGATGACTCCAAGAGTTGGGCCAAGGGTTCAACTAAAGCCAGTCATGGCAAGGTCCCCCTGGGTAGCCCCAGCACTTATCTGCAGATGCCCTTCCCTCACTGGGAGAAAGTACAAAGAGCCCTATCCCTGTCTTACAGATGAGAAAATCGAGGTCTAGGGAGGGGAAGGGACTTGCCCAGAGGCAGCCAGCCAGAAAGTTTCCGGCCCAGCCCAACACAAATCTCCCCCATGCTGCCTCTATCTCACCCAGCTGAATGGTCAGGAGGCACACAAAAGTCCCTCACTTCTAAACCAATTCTACAGTATTGAATTCTTTACTTTTGACAAACAGCCACACAAGTTTACACTTTAGGAATTATACATTGTCAACACTAGAATTAGGCTCTTATCACACTCTCGTGATAGTCCTTAGAATCACAAAATCTCTGAGCAGATGAGTAAAACTGAAGTCCACCCAGGAGAAATGAGCCCCAAGGCCAGACAAAAAGTGAGCAGCAGAGCCAGGATGCGAACGCTCATCTCCAGCAGGCCCTCTCACTTTGCTAAGCTTGACCTTGGAGCACCTGGTAGGACCATTCCCCACAGCACCTGAAGGATTCCCCAAGGGGATCGGAAGCCATCTTTGCCTCTCCTACAGAGTCACTGAGAGTCGGACATGACTGAAACGACTCAATGACAATGACAACAACAAAAACATTTACAGGTGCTTTCCTAAGGAGTTTCAAAGCATTCCATAAGAGATCAAGGTGAATTAAATTTGTTTTGTACCCTTAACATAGCTGAATCTGAGTTCCTGAGTGATGAGAGTAACCCAGGATTCGGCTACATTTTTTTCTCTTATTGAAGCACTCTAATGCCTGACAATTTCTCCTTTTAATTTTCCTTAATCGAGTTCTCCCATGGTGCCTGCCGGCTTGTTCATTTGTTTGGGGAGCAGTAGGGGCACCTCAGGGGAAGATGGGCCAGGGAGAGGAGGCCCGTCCCCGTGCCACCCTCACCATCCTTCTGCTTCTTTCTCCCCTCCCCCATCCCTCCACATACTTCTCCCAGAATGCCTGACGCGGCTGGGGTGGAACTGATCACCTCCCTCGTATGGATTTCTGCACGTCTCAACGCTCACTCAGAGGGGCTTTTTTCCCCTCCCCAAGCCTACTTGGCAGAGTAGCTCACTGATTTTTTCCACTCTCTTTACACCCCTTTCCCATCCACCTTGCTCATGCTCAGCTCCTGAGATCAAGGAAAATGGCATTGAAAGCCAAATCACCTACACAAGCATCTCAGCTTATCACAATGCTCTCTCTCCCCGGACCCTCGTGCCATCCCCCCTTGGGTTCAGACAGAGGGTAAAGCACGCTTTAATGTTGTTGTCTGTCACTTTTCAGTTGTGTCTGATTCTTTCTCGCCTCTTTTTGGGGTTTTCTTGGCAGGGATACCAGAATGGTTTGCCATTTCCTTCTCCAGCTCATTTTACAGATGAGGAAACTGAGGCAGAGGTTAAGTGATTGCCCAGGGTCACACAGCTAGTAAGTGTATGAGGCCAGATTCAAACTCAGGTCTTCCTGACTCCAGGCCCAGAGCTCTAACTGCTGTATCACCCAGCAAAGTTTTTTTAAAAACTAGTTGAAAATAATTTTTAAGAAGATTAAAAAGAAAAACAGAAAGATCCCATTTATCATATCACCTGCCTTGAGCCAGGTTTTAGACAAACATGAAGTTTTCTTGACTCAATGAGCCTAGTCCCCCGAATGTCCCCTCCCCCTCTCCTCCATTAATGATTTTATTTAGAAAAGACTTCAGAAGTCAAACGCTTCTTCCCTACACAACTGACCGCTGGCCAAAGAGTGGTGAGGAGAAGCCAACAAACTGGAGGTTTCTGCTAGCGCCAGGCATGTCCCAGTTTTGCTTCCCTGTATCCCCCAACATGTCGGAGAGGAGGAGGCATTCAATAAATGTTTACTGACTGAACTTCACCAGGGTTTAATCATTAACAGAAGCTGAGAGGTTTGACCCGCCCAGGCCTTCCAGCCAAGCCACCTCCACTGCATAAGGCTTTGCCAGGAAAACCAGAGAACAGGTAGGTCCTTCTACTTCAGGAAGGAGGTATCCATGACCTCAGCGTCATTTCAAAGGCCCCATTCTCCCAACACTGTAGGAGGCATGTTCCTTTGAGCCCTGGACTAGCACCACCACACACGTATGCTGACCCTCCAAGAACAAAACGGCTGAGCCAGAGTCATGCAAATCACATTTTTTCCAATCATGGCACAGTAGAGAGTGAGAAGAAAGTGAGAAGAAAGAAAATTCTCTTGGAGCATGGTACACACCAGACCACTGGAGACTGGGGCGCCAAGAGAAGCTTGAACACTGACCACCCTTCAGAGGTAACTGACCACTTCCAGAATCCACTTAAGAGAATCGCGGCTTCCAACCAAGGATGCCATTAAGAAGCAGAGGAGCCCGCTGAAGGACAGAGAGGGCAAGGACCACTGCTTGGGGTTTTGAAGAGGAACCACAAAACGAGAGCTTTTCTGCTACAAAAGCATTAACCAGCAGGTGCTCTGAAACCTTCAGCTGAAGAGGACCCCACGAGATCAAGAGCCTTCCAACACACAGGACTGGAGCTAGGTCAGTTTTCTGGAGGTCTTCAAATCAAAAAGAGTCCAAAGTCCAAACACTGCGTCTACTTCCCCCTAAGCCTCAGACATCCTAGGATGTAGAGCTTGGAAAGTCCCTCGTCAATCCCACAGTCCAACCTCCTCCCCTCCCTTCAGGTCCACTTTACAGATAAGCCAACAGATCTGGAGGTGAAGTAATCATTCGCCTGTCTACTGCCATGCAGATCAAATAACACAGCTAAAAGCTAAGGTTTAAAGCCAGCCTTACTGACAGTCTACACCAGGGGTGGGGAACCTGCGGCCCTCTGACTGAATCCAAATTTCCCAGGATTCGGTCAAAGGGACTCAAGGACCTAAAGGGCCACACGTGGCCTGGAGGCCGCAGGTCCCCCACCCCTGACCTGAAAGTCCTAGTGTCTCTATGTCTAATACAGGCATGTGTCATGGTCTCAAAGCCTGAGTCCACATCCTCTGCCCTCCTTCCACAACCTACCTAAACTCAGAGAGTGAAGACGTTCTCCCCAAAGCTCTCCCACCTTGACTGTACCCCACACATCCCCAAAGTGAAGGCAACGTTCGCCCAAAAGGCAGCTTTTTGGGGCTGCCAATCCCAAAGACACACAGTCAGTAAAACTGAGGCCCAGGAGAAACGGGCTGCTCAGCTCTCAAAGCCTGCCTGAGAGTCTTCCGGGCACTCCACTCTCCCATCTCCAAACGCATCAGCAAATTTCCCCCGAGGGCCAGCAATGATGGCATCCCCAAGTCTGGTTATTCTCTAGTTCACACCTTGCTGAGATGGGATCCGCAGCCAGGTAGGCAAAGCCAAGAGCACAATGAATATGAGGTAAAGAAACCACGCCTGCAAGACCGAAGAAGAGCGGTCAGGACACTGACCAGGCCCAGCTCCACCCCCGCTCCTGCCTCCTCATGCACAACAGTGGACATGCTCCACTGCTCCACATGCTGTACTATGTTCATTTGTTACAGGGACTGTATTTTCTCCATTCTGGGGCAGGGGAGGAAGCTAGTAATAGTGATGCCAGAAGAAAAACCAAGTCTTCACCGAAGCAGCTTTAAAAATACACAAGGAAACCAAAGGCATTTCAGAAGGACCTGCAGATAAGCAAGACAGATGGGAAAGTAATCTGCTGAAAGTACAGATTTTTATTTATTTACTTGGTGAGGCAATTGGGGTTAAGTGACTGGCCCAGAGTCACACAGCTAGTAGGTGTTAAAGTGTCTGAGGCTGGATTTGAACTCAGGTCCTCCTGACTCCAAGGCCAGAGCTCTATTCACTACACCACCTAGCTGGCCCGAAAGTATAGATTTTTAAAAAGCAAGTTGTACATAAGAATCATGGTTCCCCATAACCTTTTTCTGTTCTGCTTTGTATCTGTGTTTTTGACATTCATTAAATTCAAAGTAAATAAAATGATGGCCTTGGACTCTATCCTATGGACATTCTAATCAATGAACCCTTATAAAAGCCAGGGTGGGTACTTCAGCCCAAAAGAAGGCATTACATTCACACCAAATTCTGCTCGCTGACCAGGTGTGTCCTTAGGGCCCCCATCCCTCCAGGGGCTGGCTCTTACCTTGCCGAGGACAGTGAGACATGGCTTTGGGTCCAACTCTGGCTGTTCCAGCTTCACGACCCCCACCCAGCCATATTCATATAAGTCTTCTTCATCATTGTTGTTACAAAGTCCCAGTGGGTGCATCTAGGAAATAAAACAGGAGACCAGAGTTTATAAGGCAGGCAACACTCCACAGCCACCCTCATGCCATTCAGAGCCAGTTTCCCCCTGCCCACTCCCTCCCCCATTGACCAAGGGCTGGAGATTTTACACGCAACATCTCCGGCCCCAAGCACTCTACTGCACCAGATGGCCTCCTCAGGGGCCTTCCCTCTCCCAGGATTCCCCCTCATGCCACTACCATAACAACACTTCTTCACACGTCAGCAGAGGCTCCTGCCTCCCCCTGAATCGAGCCCTAACCCCTGTGCTTGGCATGTGAAGCCCTTCTGCCACCTGGAGCCACCCACCATTAATGGACGCTGCTGCCAAACGGGCGCTGCGCTCATGGCATCACCAGTGAGGTGATGGAGTCCAGCTTTGATGCCATGGTCAGTCCTATCTTACTGAAAACCACATTCCCAACAGCTCTGAAACACGGTCTATCCAATCCAGCTTCTTAAATTAATACTTCCAGAAACCTTTTATTTCCTCAATGTGGGTATTCCTTATAACAAGGCAGACGGATCACAGCCCCAACATTCTCCTACCTCCTGCAAATCTCAGTGGATAAATATGAAAGAACGGGGCACCTAGGTGGCACAGTGGATAGAGTGCCGGGCCTGGAGCAAGGAAGACCGAGTTCAAATCCAGACTCAGTCACTCCTAACGGAGGGACCCTGGACAAGTCACTTCAACCTGTTGACCTCAGTTTCCTCATCTGTAAAATGAGCTGGAGAAGGAACTGGCAAACTGCTCTAGTATCTCTGCCAAGAAAACCTCCACCGGAGTCACAAGGAGTCAGACGTGACTGAAACAAGCGGATGACAACAACGCACACCGAACACACAAATACCCTGCGCGAGGGTTAGCTTTCCTGTGCCCAGCTTCTCCGAGCCTCGACAGACTAGCTGCTCCTTCAAGCTGCCAGAGACTCTGCTGGCCTCTGTGCCAGGAGGAGAGCTTCAGCACAGCCAAACAAATTACTAGGGAGCCAGGGTTACAAATGAAGACCTCCGCTTTAGCAGAGAGCCTCAGTTACCTCCACTTGAGGAATGCTAATACAGCTGACGTTTATATACTGCGCATCCTTTGTGCCAAGCACTGTGCTCAGCACTTTACAATGGTTCTCACAACAGCTTTGGGAGGCAGGTAATATTATCATTCCCATTTTACAGATGAGAAAACGGAAACAGAGGGAAAGTGCCTCGCCCAGGATCACCTGGGTAGTAAGTACCTGAGGTTGAACTTGAACTTGTTTTCCTGACTCCAGGCTAGGGCTCTTAGGCACTACACCACCTCGTTGCTGAGCAGACCCAGGAAACTACAGTATTGTTTACATGCACTTCTTGGATCAATCGCTAAGCATTTATTAAACACCTACTATGTGCCAGGCTCAGAGCTAGGCGCTGTACAGGGCGCCCGAGCCATCCCAGCCTTACCCTCAAGGGGCTCACTTTTGTGTAACTGGACACGTATCTCTACAGAGAATCAACACCAAGGAGGAAGGGAAGGAGGGTCAGGGAAGACCCCAGGTAGGTGGTGATACTGGAGCTGAGCCCTGAAGAAGGGAGGGATCCTAGCAGACAGAGCCGAGGAAGGCATGAACTCCAGCTAGGGGGAATGCTCAGTGCCAAGACCTGGGTACGCCACGTATGCTTACCAGGAGGGAGGAATCCACGTGACCAGAATGAAGAGAATGGGAAGGGGAGTAATGCTAATGAGGCTAGAGAGAGAGGCAATAACTTTAAAAGCTCAACAGAGGCGTTTCTATTTTATCCTCCAATATAGGGAGCAGTTGGGTTTTATTTTATTTAGGCCACTAGGTGGCGCGGTTATAAAGTCCTGGAACTGGAGGCAGAAAGACCCGAGTTCAAACCTTACCTCAGACACTTACAGCTGTGTGACCCTGGGCAAGTCATATGACCTCCGCCTGCCTGTTTCCTCATAGGTAAAATGGGGATAATAAGAGGCCTCAGCTCCCAGGGCTCCATAAGGATAAAAATGACATATGTTCGTAACCTATTTTGCTAACCTTTAAGCAGTGTATAAATGCCAGTTGCTATTATCATCATCAATGTCATCATAGAGAAGTGACGTTGTCAGATCTGCTCTTAAGGCAGCAGCGTGTGGAGGCCAAGGGCCTGAACGAGAGTGCAGCCAGGTGGAGAGGAAAGCATGTCCAATAAGACTTGGCAGCACGATGGGCTCCCTGGTAATGGGAGCGAGGCAGCGAGGAGAAGGCCGAAAGGCATGGACCTGGCAGCCTGAGAGGCCGTGGTCCCTTGGACACAGATAGCCAAGTTTAGAAAAGGGAAATGTTTGGGGCGGAAAGCCGAGTTCATATCTGGACACACACAAGTGTAGGTATCCCTGTGACACCCAATTAGAAACCTCCACGAGGTCACTGGTGATGCAAGACTGAATCTCAGGGAAGACACTAACCACGGGAGCTGAGCAGGCTACGAATGAGCCAAAGGAAAGAGGGAGAATAGAAGAAGGCCTAGGACGAATCCTCGAGAACACCCACGCTTATATCAAGTGTGAACTGCATGCGCCAGATCTGGACAGTGAGAATGAGGGGAAGCATTTTAGCTACATGTGTGTCATGATTATATAATGTTATGAGGGCTTGGGTGTTCTTTTCACTTACAGGGCAAGTGAGAGAAAGAAAATGTGTATCTGTTCACTGGAAAACACACACACACACACACACACACACCCCCATATAAGTGGGAGAGAGGGGAGAAGGCTAGAATTCAAAACTAAATCTTATGACTTCAAAATCCAGAGCATTTTCTACTCTATTATTACATTGTGAGTGGATGGGACCACACGATTATCAAAATGTCAAGGGAGTGCCCTTCTGGTATATCAGCCTCAGGATTCTACTGAGCAAAAGCCTTCAGTGGCTCCCCATTGCCTGCTGGGTAGGGCGTTCAAGGCTTTCTACAATCTAGAGCCACCTTCCTTGCAGGCCTCATCGCTCCCTACTCCCCTACACACACAGCATATTCCCACTGAAATGCATTTGTGGCTATACAAACTGGAATTGCCTCCACAGAACTACCTTCTTCCCCCTGACCAGGGCTGTGTCTTGTAAACAGTAGGGGCTTAACGCAGCTTTGTTGAAATGAAGGTGGTGGCGAAGTCAAAGATGCTGATAGGTGGGGAGGCTGGAGAAAGGGCAGCTCGAGGCACAAAAGAGTGGGAGGGGAAGAGGGGGCCCCCTCACATGAAGTTCAAGGAGCAGATGAGCTGGCCAAAGGCAGGACAGCAAAGGAGCTCCAAGGACTAGGCTTCATGAGAGAAATCCCTTCTTCCCTCCTCTGGGCCGAGGAGCGCTGCAGCCGTCTACGCGTTTGCCAAATGAACCAACGAGCACAAAGCTTTGAGGGCCGGCCACCAGAAAGAAGACAAACCCCCACGTAGACACAGAATGGACAGACAGACGGAAGAATAAGGAAAATTCCAGAGAGGAGAGTTTCCAGAAGGTGCTGCAAGAACACCAGACCCTATGGGGGACCCCTGGCCTCACCCCTATGTCAGGCTAAGGAAAAATGTATGGAAGAAGGTCACCTGACACCAACACACACTGCTTTACTCTCGACAGACAACGCAAAGGCTTGGGGTGACTTTGTTTTCTAAGGAACAGAAACAAAAGCTGGAGCAGCACTGGTGGGTAAGGAAGCTCCAGGCCCGAGAAGCCCAGGGGCTACAGAGAGGCAGTCTCATGGTGGAGAGAGCGCTGGGCTCCTGAGGCACGGGTCCTGGGTTCCGATCTCACTTCCAGTACTTACTACCTGTGTGTGACCTTTGACACATCCTTTTCAAACCTTAAAATGCTAGATAAATGGGAACTATAGCCATTAATACAACTGGCGATCCAATAACCAAGATGAGGCAGATGCTGCGAAGCGCAAGGCCGAGCCACAGCTGAACCTGTCCCAGGCCCATTCGGGTCAGCCTGGGCCTTGGGCCTCAGGGAACAGCTAGAAGCCTCAACACACACACAAAGCCAGGATGCAGACCATCCCCCGTCACTAAGGCAGTCAAGGCAGGGCTGGGAAACCGAGTGTAACGAAACCTTGGCACCCCACGCTGCATTAAGGGTTACAGCAGCTCTTTCACCAGCTGTGAGAATTTCAAGGGGGCTGTTACCCGAGACACGAAGCAAAAAACCACAGTGCATTGGGACTGAGCTCCTGTCTTTGCTCTGAAGGCTTCGGAACAGACTGCCTGTTTTTTCAAACAGGCCAGCTAATAAGCACAACCTCTCCACCATCATGCCCATGCCTTTTAAAGGCTGTCATGCAGACAGTCAAGGGAACGAGAGGGGGACAGTCTCTCCATAAGCAAAACAACAGACGCTAAAAACATTGCTAGCCTCAAAGCTGACCCCTAAGGATCCTTCTTTACTCTAGGTCTGGACCACACACAGCTCTAAAAAGACAGATCCTAGTCAGTCAGTATTTGGTCAGTACTTACTATGTTCTAGTCACCATGCTAAGCCCTCAGAAAAGCACAATCATTCACCACCCTCAAGGAGATCACACATTCTTGGGGGGTGGAGGCGATGAGAGAGACCTGACGACATGTAAATACTGAGGTGTGTCAAGATCCATCCAGTGTAAATGGGAGGTGATCTCCCAGGGAGGGGGAGGAAAACCAGGGGACATTAGACAAGGGGCTGCAAAAGGCCTCTTGCAGAAGGTGGGAATTCAGCTGGATCCTGAAGGGAGCCAGGAGGGGCCAGGGAGGAGGGTAAAGATGGGGGGGGGTTCCCAGGGTGGGAGGAGGACGAGGATGGGGAGGGAGGATCCAGGGGGGATGAGGGTGAAGAGGATTCCAGGGGAGAAGGGGGAGGATGGGGGGGAAGATGGGAGGGGGATGGGGGGAAGGGAGCCAACCCAGAAGGGATTATGATATTCTCAAGCCCATCATTCCACACAGCTGTTCCTCCAGCCATACAGCTTTACTCCCAT